CCAATCATGGTTTAAGAAATGACTGAGGGAAAAGAAAGTGGCAGGAACAACAAATTTTAACAGAAAGATTTGCTGTGGCTTACTGCAACTTAAGTTGCTCTAAGATCTGGAAAAGCAAGCAAAATGTTACCTATGAAGCTGCTCAGGAACATTCAAGTCTGGAAGTGACTGAAGAGATGCAGGAGTTCCTCAGGCCTAAGTGACTAGGTAAACGAGCAGATTAAACTCAACATTAGTGAATGCTTTATAACACAAAGTGGGGAAACCCTTATATGCACAGCTTATTTACCACTATCATCAGGATTGCGTGGAAAACACCGCAGATGAAAATGTAAGCATCAGTTTAATATTCGGTATCAACCAAAATGGCAAATACGATTTTAGGACCATGGAAACAAGGAAAACCCAGAATTTTGTCACCCTTCACAGCAACAGAGCATATGGAAGGCTTCTTTGGTCAGCCTCAGAAGGCAAACAGATAAAGAGGGACAGCAGGATGCTCCTCAGTACAGAATGGCTTCCATCCAGTGAGAAGAAACATGAAGGACAGAGCATAATGAGAGAGGCTATGATAACCATCTATTTTCATAGAGAAAGAGACCTAAAGGATAACTAGCAAGGGACAAGTTGTTATTTCTCCTGCAGGAGAAAGTTCCAGAAGACATCCACTGCTTCTCACCTATTACCTGGAACATCCAAGCGTTTCTCACACAAGCACACAACAAAGCTGTTGGAACGTATTTCACACAGCCTTATTAAGGCAAAAAAAATTTTTGGTGAGACTTTGTGGGGCCTTTCTACACCTGAAAGGGCTGTCCTGTTCACCTTGGCGCAGATGACATTTTTGCCAATTACCATTTCTGCCAGTTTCTTCTGACAGTGGCCACTACTCAGAGGCTGAGGAGAGAGAACATGGGGAGCGGGGGACTCCAGGTCAGATCAATACAAGAGTTCAGACAGCAAAGCACACAAACGTTTTGCTTTATGACCTACATTCACTTAAGCGTATTGTGATTTTCAGGTCCCATTTTGTGAGTCTACAGCTGTATACACGTACTTAGTAAGCATACTTCGCACACATTCATCAACAACATTCATGCAATACTATCCCCAAATTAGAAAGCATATCCCCAAATTAGAAAGCACCAAGTACATATTAGAAACATCCCTCACTTTAGATCTTCATTTTCCCACAATACAGATCAACAGCACAAGAACCCAAATGCTTTTTTTCCATAGGTTTCTATAAGCAGATGCAGTCTGTTCTCCATGCCCAGTAAGATCACGTAACAGATCCTCCTAGAAGATCTGTCAAAATATATGGAGGATGGGAAGGTGATTAGGGACAGTCAAAATGGATTCACCATGGGCAAATTGTGCCTGACTCATCTTGTAGCCTTCTGTAACAGTGTTACTGCATCAGTGAACAAGAGAAGAGCATACACCTCAGTCACACAGCTGCACATCTGTAAGGCTTTTGATATGATCCCCAACAACATTCTTACTCTAAATTTGAGAGATACAAGTTTAATGCATAAGGAATTGGCTGAATGGCCATGTCCAAACTGCTACAGTCGATAGCTCAGTGTCCAAGTGGAAACCAGTAACAAGTGGTATCTCTCACGGGTCATACTAGCACCAGTATTATTTAATATCTTTGCTAATAATACAAACAGTAGGATGGAGCACTTATGCAGATGACACCAAGCTGGTCAGTTCATTTGCAAGACAGAAGGGATGCCATCCAAATGGATCTTGACGGGCTTGAGGAGTGGGCCCACGTGAACTTCATGAGGTTCAGTGAGATCAAGTGCAAAGTCCTAAGCCTGGGCCAGGACAATTCCAGGAACAGCTACAGGTTGGACGGAAACATGATGCAGAGCAGCCCTGCAAAGGAGGACCTGGGGGTGCTGGCTGAAGAAAAACTTAACATGAGCTGGATTCAGTGTGCACTCGCAGCCCAGAAACCAACCATATCCTGGGCTGCATCAAAAAGATATTGACTAGCAGGTTGAAGGAGGTGATCCTGCCCCTCTACTCTGCCCTTGTGAAACCCCACTTGGAGTAGAGGGGCAGTTCTGGCATCCTCAACATAAGAAGAACATGGAGATGTTGGAGCAAGTCCAGAGGAGGGTCACGAGGATGACCAGGGGTCTAGAGCACCTCCCATATGCAGACAGGCTGAGAAAGTTGTGCAAAGCCTGGAGAAAAGAAGGCTGCATGGAGGCCTTGTAGCAGCCTTCCAGCATCTAAAGGGGGCCTACAAGGATGCCAGCAAGAGACTCTTCATCAGGGACCTTAATGATGGGGCAAAGGGTAATGGGTTCAAACATAAACAGGGAAGTTCAGGTTAGATATAACAAAGAAGTTCGTTACTGTGAGGGTGGTGAGGCACTAGAACAGGTTGCCCAAAGAAGTGGGATTAAATGGTTTATCCCTGGCAGTGTTTAAGCCCAGGTTGGATGGGGCTTGGAGCAACCTGGTCTAGTTTGAGGAGACCCTGTGCATGGCAGCAGATTTGGAACTACATGATCTTAAGGTCCTTTCCAACCCTAACCATTCTATGATTCTATGAAATCTAATCAGTGCATTTTTAACATTCTTGCTAAAAAAAAAAAAAAAACAAAAAAACACCAAGCTGCTTCTAGATAAGAAAAATAGCTTATATGAAGTATTAAAAGAAATACCTGACTTTTTTTAAGATCACATATTATTCCTCATATCAATAACTCACTTGCTTTTGTCTAAATACTGGGTACTATATCACTCACACATGCAAACACTTCTCATTTTGGATTCTAAATTCTGATGTTTAAGGTAAAACTGTACTTTATATAATTATATTTTATTTTGGGGCTGTTGGTTGATGAGAAAAATGAACATGAGCCAGCAGTGAGCACTCGCAGCACAGAAAGCTAGCCGTATCCTGGGCTGCATCAAAAGGAGCATAACCAGCAGGTTGAAGGAGGTGATCCTGCCCCTCTACTCTGCTCTTGTGAGACCTCAACTGGAGTATTGTGTTCATTTCTGATGTCCTCAACATAAAAAGGACATGGAACTGTTGGAACAAGTCCAGAGGAGGGAAACGAGGATGATCAGGGGACTGGAGCACCTCCCGTATGAAGATAGGCTGAGAAAGTTGGGGCTGCTCAGCCTGGAGAAGAGAAGGCTGCGTGGAGACCTCATAGCAGCCTTCCAGTATCTGAAGGGGGCCTATAGGGATGCTGGGGAGGGACTCTTCATTAGGGACTGTAGTGACAGGAAAAGGGGTAATGGGTTCAAACCGAAACAGGAGAAGTTTAGATTGGATATAAGGAAGAAGTTCTTTACTGTAAGGCTGGTGAGTCACTGGAATGGGTTACCCAGGGAAGTTGTGAATGCTCCATCCCTGGAGGTGTTCAAGGTCAGGCTGGACAGAGCCTTGGGTGTTATGGTTTAGTGTGAGGTGTCCCTGCCCACGATCTTAAAGTCCTTTCCCACCCTAACGATTCTAAGATTTTATGATTCTATGTATCTTATAGTAAAAGCCTGGAAGAGTAAAGAAACTTGCGTTTATGCCACCAATTCTGATACAAGGCGTATCATATAGTTACGATCGTATAGATCGTAAGATCAGAGTTTTATCTTACCATCTCAGTGAAGGAGTATGACATGCAATCTGATTCTGGTTCACTCTCCTCTTTCCAAATATAACCCAAATGTTCAGCTGCAGTTCTGATTTCTCCCTGCTTTATATCACATTTTTGTAGATGTCACTTTGTGCTGAAGGGTCCAACCCCAGGTACTCAGGGGTTAACTGGAAAGAATCTGACCCTTCAGAGGCATTCAGGCAGATGTATTGAACGGAGAACAGCAACCACAGTCAGCTTTGACTTCATTAAAAGCAAAACTGTGTAAGGATTTAAGTTACATAAAAGTCAGATTTCTACCCATGAAGAACAATTTTGGTTGCGAGTCAAACTTCTTCCCTGCTTTCCTCTGGGAAAAAATTGTGTGGAGAACAGCATCTCACAGGCAGGAGAGTTCCTCCATGGAAGAACATCTCGCACTCATGTGGAAAGTGCCTGGACTGCGTGTTTAAAAAACACATGGTCCAGAGGCTTATGAGCAATACATATATAGAATACAATTACTCAGGACTGAAAACTAAGGTAGAATTCTTCTGTTGTTATTTTCCATCTTAAAACAGCAATGGGAATACGTAATCTCTGCACTAGATGTCACTGTCATCATACTCCCCGTACTTTGCTATAACAGGTTCCTCAAGATGAACTGCTGCACCACCCATTAAGGCAAATGCTGGGTACATCATGCCAGAGCAGTCCACCTTGCACTCATAAAGGCATATCATACTGCCAGCATCGTAAAACCCCACCTTGCCTTTGTCACAGTCAAGGCAGACGCCCAAGCATGAGGGCAGGGGAAGAATTCTGCTCGCTGCATCCTTGGAAGCAGCAGGTGTTGTGGGGATAAAGAACTTCTTCATGCCTAATGTGACCAGTGGGAAAGGCTGTGACGAGTCAAAAAAGGCATCTTCACTCCCACTGTCGTGACCACTGTCTTGCTCGTATCTAGAACAGAAAAACAACCATTCTTCTGTCAGATTCTGAAGTGGGATCAGTGATGTGAACTGGAGAAAACACTTTTGTAAAGATGGGTAACTTCATGCTATCACCTGTCAAACCTTGTGGGGTAGAAATATACATAACCCAGGAGGGAAGATGTATTTGCTAGCTGCAGAACATTTGGGCCACTTCAAACAATTAGCAACAGCTAAACTGTTAACTCCTGACTGTAGGGTCGAGACCACAGAAGGCTTTATTAAGGAGTGGATGTACTCATGTACTAAATGTCCTCATGCTAGGCAATCATTAATGAACCTACAGTTAACGAGTTAACCTAAGAAGAAATACAATGAATATGACTAATCATCACAGATTTACATAATGTTAAATGACACTTGTAAATACATTTAACATCGCTGTTGTCCTGCAAGTTTTCCATGCTGCTGCTTGCTACATTGTCTTTAAAATTCAAAACACAAACCAGTGGTTTAAGGGGATTTTATTTTCTGTTGGATTGCTTCAAGTGGTCTTCATGGAGACTTCCCTGAATCCGTTTCCCAGCTGTTTACTGGATAGCTTGTGGCCAGATTTGTTCAGTCTACATGCTTTTCCCCCTACTTTTGTACCCAGACGAAGACAGACCAGAGAAGCACACGTTATTCTATGCAGACAATCCCTAGCTAGATTTGGTTTTTTTGGCCTGTCTGGGAGGAAGCTGGATGGGGGTCAGCTAAATTTTTCCAGATATTTGTGTGGAAAAAGAAGAAAGAAGTCTGGAAATCAGCTTCTACTCTGTCACTTGGCAAAAAGTCTCCACCCGACTTTAAGCAGCTCAAGACACTGGCATTTTTATGCTTTTGAGATGCTACACAGGAGGAAGCCAGTTTATATTTTAGATTCCTGAAAAACTGAAGAATCCCCCAGGAGCCAGTGTCCCAGCCTGCAGTTCCTAGACACATCCAGGCTTACTGTAACTGAAAACTGGACAGTTTCTTCCAGGTTTGTCCACTGTTCTTTGGCTTGTGCTCAGTATCACTCCATTAACGTAAGTAGAAGACATAGCCTGGGACAAGCCAGTGACTTGGAATCCACCGTGACACAAGCTACAGCAAAGATACACAGATATGCACAATGAACACTGTACCTCTGAATGACTGCCAAACCTAGTATGCTAAGAGAATTAAGGAAGAGTCTTACTACTGATAATTAAGTATTGCTCCAGTCTTGCAACTGCTGCCTTTTTTTCCTACCTTCTTGCTTTAGCTGTCACACCTTGATATCTATAGGAACCCGATTTCTTTCCCAGAAAGAAACAAAGTAGGACTCTGAATAATTAGAAATCTTTGCACTAATAGCATGGGATGAAAAGGACCACCTGCTTACACCATGTCCTTCAAGCCACTTGCCACTGATAAGGTGCACCTTGTATACTAATGGACACCAGATTTCCTCTTTTTCAAAATACATTTCCTTATTTAAAACATGAATTAAAAAAAGAGTCTAAAATTTACCTTGGGCTGATCACATCATGGGTGTTATGGAACATTTTTTGCATCTTGTTGCTAGAGACAACTCCCACTTTCACCAAGTATGAATAGGGTTCCACATGAAAAGCCCAGAAGTGCTTCCCTTTGGTAACTCCAGTGTCACCAATGATGTAATCCAGGGTCGTATAGCATCCAGTCTGCACACGCTCAGATCCCAACAGCAGAGAAAATCCAGCTCTACTTTTCACAGAGGTTCTCCTTGGGTTCAGCAGGAGATGTTCATTGTTGTACCCACATTTGTCATCAAAAAGAAAACTGAAAACTGAAAAAACAGTATCCCAAAAAATTTCCTCTTAGTTAAGTATCTGACCCTCTGTGCTTATAAACTATAACTTATGTCATACTGGTATTAGAATTTCTCATTTTTAAAGGCTGCCAGAAATACCATGAAAGCTAGCACAATCTCAGTATGATACCTACTTAACCTGTTTATGTTTCTAAACATTCATGCAACTGGTAACAGTACAGCAGAACTTTCTGAGCTACTGGAAACTACCTACAGCTTTAAACACCAAAAGACACATATTCAGCACCTTGTGGACATATGAAAACCCAATACCTGGAGCTGGAGGTGTATGTAAAATAACTTCTCGGCTCCAAGCACTACAGATGGACCCTTTATATCCTCGTACTCTGAAGGCATAGCTGCTGTCGTTATCAAGATCAGATATAACTTTGCTCTTGCTGCAAACTTCAATCTCCTGCCACACTGCACTCTCCTCTTCTCTATTAAGCTTATGATATTCAAGAACATACGTATCAGCTCCATCTCTCTTCCCAGGCCATTCCCAACTGATCAGAGCTTTGTTGTACATTCTGCTCTGCAATTCATTTATTTCTGGTATTTCCAGACCTGGAATGACAGACATTCAGGAGAGAAGAAATCAAATACAGATACATACTGGTTTAGAATTAACAATACAAGCCCTTTGTTGAGTGGCTATAGCACTATGTGTTCATGTGTGGGGTATCTAACTCACTCAAAGGGTGCAGATGAGGATATTTGTGTTCATGCACTTAAATACCTTCCTGTTTTTACTTTCAAAGTCGTGTTATTTATTTTTGCTGGCAGCTAAAAAAAAAAAACCAAACCCCCCCCCCCCCCCCAAAATCTACGACCTTATAAAAACCTATTCTTTTCTGTCATGCAAAAAAAAGCTTCTAGGAAAACCTAGTATCAATTAACTACAGTAGTTTGGAAGCCAATGTAAACTGGTACTGAATGCAATGGCATCTTGGCTTCTTTATCAATGCTGAAGCTAGCATTGCTGCCCTGTGGGTTACAGGCACAGAAGGCACAATGCAAGTTACAAGACTGAGCTCTGCAACTGCAGTCTTGCATTGGTTTTACCTCTTTCCAGGTAAGTCCTTAAAGCCATAAGTTGAGAAAAACCTGATGCTCTCACAATTTACCATTGGAATGGAATGTCAAGTCACCAAGGATCAATTCTTGCTTGGCTATGTCCACCACAAAGTCTTCAAAAGTACTTTCAGCTGTGGGCCTGAAACTCTTCAGAGATTCAGTAGCTTTCTGGATTCTGAAAACACAGAAACAGGGGGATGGCAAAAGAGAGAAAAGGGAATTCACATGTGTGCATTCCTTGAAGTAATAAAATCTTAAAAAAGAAAAAAATATATATTTTCATGTACATGTTTACAAGTCACTCAGAAAGCCTGTGTTTCTGGACAGAATTCAAATGCAAAAATTTAAAGGCCTTTTCTGCATCAGTGTAAAGATAAGGCATGGGTAATCTTCAGCTGGCAGAACATTTTAGCAATCTGGGTCATTATGTTCAAAGAACAAAATAGGGGTGAAATGCTAATTGGAGAATGACTGTTAGGATCAAAGAGTTTAAAGCCAGAAGAGACCTGTTATGCTAAGTTACAAATACCTGGTACAATCTCTAAGGAACCAGTCAGTGATCTGAATGTGCTGCCCTTCCACTGCAGAACAAGGCTGGGGGTTAGCAGGACAGAGCTCCTCTAGTGTGCTGCTCCTTAACGCACACTGTAATGTAGTAATTTCTGCTGAATGGTACTGGGATCATCTCCCCAGCCTCTGTAATACAAGGTACTGTATTCACTACTTCGCTAGCAGGTGTCAAAAGAGTATGACTGACCAGACATCCTAGAACAGTATCTGTACCTCAAACAGAAGATAATCAAGATACCTGGCATGAAGTTGTTTTGCTGTTTGAACAAAACAAGATGGATCAGTTTCTTTAAGCACCTCTTGAGCATATCCTACAAGGCCATTATTTTCCAGAAGCCCTTGATATTCTTCTGCTTGTGCTTGCAATTTTTCCAGCCTTAAACTCTTAGAAGCATCAATTGCCCTAAGAGCTGCATATTTCTTCTCTTCCAGGATATGAGATAATTTCTCAAAACTTTGAAATGCTTCTTGTTTAGCTCTTTCACTGTTAAACTAGGAGGGAACAAAAGACACATTAGATTCCACAGCACTGTGGTTGTGTACAGAAACATATTGTTCAAGATACCGTCATAATGTAGTCATCTATTTGACAGACAAGACTAATAAGCTTTGTTATGGTCTTCAGCACTGCAAATGCGACCAGCACTGCACCCAAGCTAGTAAGAATTTACTATTTTAACACAAAGAATTAAGAGCAGGAAAGTACTCCTCTGATTATGCATGGCATTTATCTAAACAGCTCATGGAAAAGCACTATAAAATAGCAGTTTAGTCTGTGAAGTCTGCGTGTCCAAGAGCTACATGCTCTTCCATCTTCCCCAAACACCCTGAACCATGGGTCCAGCCCAGTTTCTCACATATGCCCTCAGAACTGTACGGTCTCCTCTGACTGGATAAAAGGAACCAGAAAGCATGGAGACAACCTTTATCAAGACACAAGCACAGACACAAGCCCCTGCAATTTCTGCCACTGCATTTTCATGCTGCATGTGAGCTCCCAGCTCTGATTTTTCTTCATGGAGGTTTTCCCCTCAAGGCAGATCCTCAAGGCAAACAGACAGCATAAATTGTACAGCACCATGATTACACAAAAGCTGTTAAGCCTAATCCACTTCTCACTACTTAAAGTATCAAATAAGCTTTATTTCAATTAAATTTATAGCAGCACCCAAAATTTAACTTCTGTAAGAATACGTCTGACTCTGTATGCTGCACAAATTTCCCACACTTTCAGGATTAGCTCATGTGCGATTCAGGACTAGCACGAACTGATCAGAAATTGTTTCTCTGTCTAACCGAAAAAAATCCCTAGGTATTTGAAGCATTTCACTGAAAACAATTTGAGTTCCTGCCTTGTCCCTGGAAGGGCCATCCCCAAACAACCACAAGATGCTCTTACTTCTGTTTCTTTCAGCAGCAGATTCAGCTGTGTGATGTGAGCTTTCACCTGGCTCTCCTTACCGATGAGGTACTCAATACCTTTTGAAAGCTTCTCCTGTTAAAATAAAACAGCAAGGTGGAAGCATAAATGTATCCCACCAAAACTGACAACCAGTGCAGGCAGGTCATCCAGTCATTGCTCAGTTTATCTCCTTACACAAGGGACAAAAATCTGTCACCAATTACGAGCAGCAACCCCATGCAGAACTGATCAGTGACGTGTGATAACTGCACACAGACATGAGGCCACTGCTGTGAGCAGAACTGGGAGCAAAGCCTCTGAGGACAAGAGATAACAGCCTCAGCTTGCTTGTATGTTCCTCCTCAGCCACAGCAGTCACCCTCTCTTAGGTAGGAACACGATGGTTCAAGATGTTATTAAAATTTACAGAAAAGCCTCATTAGTTATTAACTCATTTGTAGTAAGAGTTGCTAGAAAAGCGAGTGGTTCAAAGCACAAACTTTTGAGTTTGTCTGCACTTCTTTAGTTGCAAGAGTTAACAGCCATACAGGAAAAGCCCTGCAAACAGGCAAGCAGGCCAAAAGAGCAGAAGGCAGGCAGGGGCTGGTCCTCTTTTTTCCCCCCCTGAAAGCAAGAGCGTTAAGGAAGAAAAGGAGGTAGCTGCAATTATTCTTTACTAACAAAGCAATGTTTGCAAGTCTTCTCTGTTCTACTGTGCTTAGGAAATCAACAGCTGTGCAATTTTAGAAACATACAAGGTAGCAACAAAACCTCATATGCAAATTTTTTAAGAGTGCCTCTAAAGTACCAGCTAACCTAGACTGTCGAGTATTAACTGCTTCAACCTTCTGCATTGATTAGTCCTGCTGTACAGTTGACTAATGTGGAAGCACTTTTAAGGGGTTATGTTTCAAGCTTCATAGAAAATACAGCTTAGTTTCTCAGACCTGCTATGTCACACTAATATATACGTTAACAGATACTGCACAACAGCATGCTTCCTGACTAAACACACATCCTGGATTCCTGCCAGAGGGAGTTTGCTGTTACAGTAGAAGCTCAGTACTCTTTCCCTTCTTAAGGTGACGTCCAACAATATTTACTTTTACCTTTAGGGTTTTGTAGGCAGTGCTCATGGCTGTTACTCTGTGGTTTGCATGACATCCACCCAGTTTACAAAGATGACAAACTGGCCTTCTGCAGATTTCACAGTACATGTTTACCCTCTCCATTTCATGTTCTGGACACATCAAAATCTGGGGGGGAGAAAAAAGGGGAGGAAAAAAAATAAGAGCAGAGGTGTACAGGTGCACTTCCAAAAACTGAGGTGCTAAAAAAGCCATCAAATCAATCACCCCACAGCAGCGTCTGGTTTCTTCAGTGGATTTTTTTATGTTCAATTTATCTTCCACCTTTTATATTTGTCCATGCCAGTGAAAGCCAGCAGATGAATGCATACAACTTCACAAGGTTTATAGTGCGTAAACCTGTAGCAATGCCTGGGCAAACTTCGTGTAGCCTCCATACTGCAATTAATCCTTTGCTAATCCCTGAAGTTGTCTGCATGCCACAAGCTCCCTACACTGTTCTTCACAGCTGTAATTGTAAATGCAATATATAGCACACCCTTTCAAATTTGACCATGTCCACAACAAGATCTCTTGAAACAGCTATGAACCGTTTGTTAAAGCAAGAGCTGACATAATACTGCCATCATCTAAGTTTAAGCAAGACTGATCAGTCACATAGCCATTAATCTCAGAGCAACAAACAAAATGCAGCCACCGTGACCAGTCACAGCCATTTTAAAGACAAAAGGCCCCAGGGTTGCTATTTTTCTGTCTTTCTTTAGTTATTCCTCCTTAGCACTAATTCCAGCATCAGTTTGAACAGCATTGTGAAAAACTGGTGTTTACTAAAAATCATCTTTCAAAGACTAAGTATCTTGAAATAACTACTCTAAGGGGGGAAAAACAATTGCTGCTCAACTCCAAACTCAAGCAACAGATAAAACCATCTAAAGTGAGGGAGAGGGAGTGTTAGAAAAACCTAAACCTTTGCCTCATCCCAGAACACTAAAAAGAATATCTGACTCTGTCTCCTCAATGTTAACCAAAGAAGAGCTCTTGATAAAGCTGTTCAGTTTCAAGTCAAGGAGAAGAGTGACACGGGAGTGTCAGTAGTCAAGCTTTAAAAGTATAATCTTTTATCACACCCCTTCAAAAAACCCCCCTGCACCACCAAAAAAAAAAAAAAAAAAAAAAAGAGCCACAAACAGCAAAGGGCACTGAAACAGAAAATTTTGAGTAGCATAGATACGGACACAGTAAGCTAAAACTGCAAACCATTTCAAGCCTGAAATGTTATCATAGGCTTGTGCTTTCCACAGCAGTGCATAGTGACACCTAACAGAAGCCATGCATTTTTATTCGCTTCATCATATAAGCAAGAGTTACAGCCTGCAAGCTAAAGATAGAAGAGATCAGCAGATTACCTAGTTTAGCTCTTTAAAATTTCAAGATCAGCCCACTACGTGCTTCTCCTATCCCCACCACACATTACAAAGTGTTCTTCAATCTGGCTGTAAATTCAAGTGATGACTGGGAATATCGTTTGGGAGACCAGCAAATACTCTCTGCATTCAGTTCAGGTCTTAGCGATGCAGTGCAGTGAAAAAATGCACTTTTCTTTCTAATAAGTTTGAGGGGTTTTGTTTGTTTTTAAACAGTGCATGTGTCTTAACGTGATTTAAAAAGCTAATTACACACAGTTGATACATCAGGATGATCTAAACTACTTTTCCCTCCTTTGCTCTACTTCAGCAGAGTTCAGATACTGACTTTTAAACCCAAATTAGTCTGTATGTAGGCATGCAGAATTCCTTTAAGTAAGAATGTTGCAGCAGTGAGGACTTAGATATCATAGAAGCAAAGTTTTAAGGTACTCTACTGCATTTTAGATTAGGAACTGGAAGACAACATGCACACTTTCAGCTTACTTGTTTATCCAACATACAGACATTTCACAAAGATAGCTGTGTGCTAGCACATATTAAAGCACGTAAAGCACAGGCGTGTTCTTAACTGTAATTAAGGTGTTAGACTTAAAAAAAACAGCACTAAGTGGACTTCTGGATGTTCACTGTCAGCTCCCTAACTTTCGAGGTTCAAATTTTTCCAGCCTCAGAATAAAGGTACGTCACTAGTTAAGTTATGCATTGCACATTAATCAAATTTACTTAATTTAATCAAAATGAATCAGGACTCCTTGAACATCAGCATTTCCGACATATGTGCAACCCCCAGTGAGGTCACTGGCCACCAGCACACAGAGTGGTCAGACATTAAGATCTACACTGGTCCCTTGCTAGGCACATGGCAGCTGTGACAATTCCTCATGTCATGTAATTAAATTGAGCAGGGCGTTGCCACATTCTGCACAACACTCAGCAGAAGAGACAAAGGTAACTGCACTTTTTAAATATTCTTTTCCGTCCAAATGCAGCAACAGCAACAGCAACAGCACTGTGTAAAGCAGAAAACTGCCCATTACACTTCTCTCTTCTGCTACAGCTTAAGGAAAAGAAAAAAACAACAGTGTGAAACCAGCAGAGATCTAAACTGCACCTTTTGCTATTGCTAGACGCAAGGAAGGAGGAGAGGAAGAAGATGCTTTGTGGTAGATCAAACTCAGGCACAGAACATCCAAAGGGAACCTGCATTAATGGGGTAGGGGAGGCCAATTGTGTTGGGGTTTTTAAGCTTACCCACCCAGGCATCCTCCTTAACTTGACTTCTACCAAAAATTACTGCCACTCTAGATGTTCAAGATCATCAAGTCTTCCAAAAAAAAGAAAAAAAGGATTCAAATCACAAATACCACAATCCATTCTCCAAAATTAAAAACAAACAAACAAACAAACAAAACAACAAAAACCCAAACAAAACAAAAAAAAAACACAAAAAAAACTCCAAAAAGAACAAAATAATAAATTCTTATTTTTAGGGTCCCCTACAAATATTTTCTCAATGTCATTTCCAACAACAACCACTTGAGCATCAAGACTAACAAAGGCATATGGTGCACTCGATAAATAACAGCAGTAAATCCTAAAGAGCATCAACTGTTGCACAGATACACCTGAAGCTCTATGTATGTAAACGCTGCAACGCAAATCCTGTAAGATATGGTATACTTACCTTGGGTCTGAAGTTGGTAGTTGGTCCAACATATTCATGCTGGGCTTTCACAGTTCCCCAAGGATGGTGTATTTTGAAGCATTCATTACAATAGCTTGCACTGCAGTCCATGCAGCTCTTTGTAGACTCTTGAGGTGGAGGTTTGCAGAAATCACACATAATAGCAATGGCTGCCCTGGCTGCCTGTCTGTATCTTTCCACAATGGTTTCCAAAGTAAAGTTACGAAATAAGCCATTGATGCCACGTTCTCCGAGATCAATATCCTGCTGGCATCCCGGACAAGGAAACAGGCTAGATCTAGGTGTCAGTGAATTGCGCTTTCTGCCTGGGTAGACACCTGATTTAGGAGTAGCATAAACAGAAGATGTTTAAATGGAGAAGCACAGGAATTTATGAACCAATTCCAAACTATCAAAGCACAGTGTCCAAAACACTACATTACCAATTCATATGCAGTCTGCCAAGCCAAAGAAAATACATTTACCATAACAAGTTAGTGAAATGTCTGAGTCCAAGGGACATTATAAAGTACTACTCTTAAATTAATTCTGTGGTAAGCTTAATTTAGCTATTCCAATCCTGTCTTTGTCTAGTTTTAGATACATTCAAACTGCAGCCTTTCAAAATGCTGAACACAGAACCTTCAGAAAAATTTTAGCTTTAGGCTAACTGGCTGGCCATAGAGAGAGCAACAGCTTTGTAACAGAGTGAAGTAAAAGACGCTTATTCCCAGAGTGAAACTAATTATTCCCAGACAAACATAGCAAACTTTGAGCTCCCTAAAGCTTGCTCCCTAAAGCAACCTAAACCTGGGTTGAATTTATCTGTCTCAATCCAAGAAACATCATTAAAAAGCAAACACCCCCCCCCAAAAAAAAAAAAAAAAAAACAAACCAAAAACCCAACAGTCCCCCAAAACAAAAAAAAAATAATCAAACTCAAGAAGGAAAACGAGAACTAGATATTACCAGCATGACATCTCAGCCAAAAAACAGGCAGAGGCTGACTTGACTCTTGCTGAATGGCCTTGATAAAACCCAAAACACCAAAGGGAATGTTGAGATGGTTATGTCTAGAAGATTCTTCTACCTTGAACTGGGGAACCACAGATCTGCAGTTACATAGGGTGTTACATCTCTCTGCATTTCAAAAGGAACAGCAGAGAAGCTGCACTCCTACCAGCTATGAAAAATTTCCCCTCCTATCCAAACTAAAGTGATCAAAGGCTCAAGTAAAGCTGCAAGCCTGAGGAGCCTTTGGAGCCTAATCAAGGGGATGGCTCACAAACCCAAAGCTATTTACAGGGTAATGATCTTGAGGCTATCAAACAGGGAGGGCATTCCACACATGAACTCAAGGAGCACAGCTGTGCCTTTATGTATTTCTGAAGCAAGCTGGGTGAGTGTTAAGGCTTGACATGCATCCTCTCAGCTTCCTCTGACAAAGAAACAAATGAAAAAAAACCCATCTTCTGTAGCTGGAGTGTGGTTTTAAGACCACTTTGAGAGGACTGCATGGTGTTATACCTAATGTTGTTATACCTAACAGATTCGTAAATTGAGGCATGACTTTAAGCTGAATTCTCTGGGTTGAAATTGATTCTTCTTCATCTGTGTTTAGCCAGTATCTTATCAGAAATGATGATGCTTCATCTCTTTTTGAAGTGTCCTTTGGTACTACTCAGAAGACACTTGCTTTGTGCCACTTCTCTGGCTGCTTAACACAACAATCTGAAACCTCCCTTCCTCTCATGTCTAGCATGTGCCCTCCTATCCAGTCTCTGTAAAAAAACAAACAAAAAAAATCTAACAAGAAAACAAACCACCACACAAAAAGGAAAAAATAAACAAACAAACAAACAACCCCAAACCACCCACAAACCAGTACTCCTGTAAGGAACCAGTTCCTTCAAGTACCTTTCAAATGTGCCCCATAGTAGTTATGCATGACTGTCACTCAAGAAGTAACAACCAGAGCATGAGCAAATGCATACAAGCTGGCAGTCCCCAACCTCGCTGGTCTCATGCCTTTCTGTTGGTTCTGACTGGACAAACTGGACTGCATTTACAGAACAGTATGGGGGGCACAAGGAACCGGCATACAACTCTCTGGCTAAGGGAAGCAGAGATTTTGGTTTAGTACTTACTTGAACTGAATTAATTGCCCAACTGCACATCCTGCAGTACCTGTAACTTCACATACATAGCAACACACACATGCAATGCACAGCAACAGCAGTGAAACACAAAACTATATTTCCGTATTTCCAATGTATGCTCCATGCTAGCACAGCACACAAGAACACAGAGAGATCTTCTTCACAGACTTCTACAATGGCCTAACCAGAGATGATTTCACATGCAGTGCCATGCTGTCACCAACTACAGAAAGCAACCCAGAACACTTATATTTGCAAAAACTAATAAAATAATGATACAGTGTCATATGTACAGGGACTGCCTACAACCAGTATGCTATAGCAGAAAGCAAGCAAAGACAAAGCAAGACAGCAAAAGAAAAAAACATGGTTGCAGTGGTCAAGTTTAGCAATATAATCTGAAGTTTGTATCCAGCAGCATGCTTTTCAAGTCTGGTTCAAGCGGTTCAAACACGGAAGGGGCATTTGTTAAACAAAAGGTGAGTTCAGTAGCATTTTAATGGAGGCCTTCCATTCTGCCCCTAGTACAACAAAAACGTGGCAGACCAGTTGTAAGCTCTGCAACTGGTGACACTGCTTACAGAAAGCAACCCAGTACCAAGGAAGTCCTGTGTACCTTCAGATGTCTCATCCCTTTTCACTGACAGCACTCAACTAAGGTTTCTCCGCACCCTGTTCTAAACCATGGAAGTTTACTTGCTAAGCTCCTCAGTATTCTCTGCCAACTAAATTCTCACAGTATGGAAACATCCTCTTTTTTGCCTAGTAAGTGTCGTAATATTAACTAACATGCAGTAAGAATTAGTCTGCTTTCTGCTTATAGGATTTCTACACTCATATTAAAAAAAAAAAACAAAATTATTTCTTCAGCAGTGCTTAGAGTACTATCTTTCTTATCTGCCTTATGTCCAGTTTCCTAAAACTGAATTTGCTTATATACAAAGCAGAACGGCAACCCATGGATTTTGTAGTCATATTAGCTGTGCAGATCAGAGAAATTTAGGTTCTCACTACATTCTTTTTTACAGTTGGCCAATCTGGTTTACAACATACAAGTACGAAATTTGTGAAATCATCAGGAATCCTCAAAGGAAATTTTCTGCTGTGGTTTGCAAACAGACTGCTCCACTTGCACTGAACAGCTCAATCACTAACTAAAAAAATTAGCGCAAGGTATGCTCCTGCTTAGACTCTAAACTCAAATACTGCAATAGAGATGGCAGACTAAAGTCAAAGAACAATCTTAAGTATGTCTTTTAAAGACAGCATTTAAAAAAATCTTCCAGAGAAGTTATACCAACACTTAAAATGTTGAAAAGCCCAATCTCTAGCTGATTGTTTGCAAAGGGGTAAGACATCTTAAAGATAAAATTGTGTTTTTCAAGTAAGCAGGATCACCAGAATTCTACGGTTAGGGAAGACATGGAAGTTAAATAGGTGAGAATTAAATAAATAAATAAATAAATATTTTAAAAGTCAACTGGATTCTCATGTAAGTTTTTAAAAATATATTAATGCATATTGCCACCTTCCCCCTCCCCCCCCCCCCCCCCCAGTTACTATTTTTTGGAATGATTTTCAGGAAGAAAGAAAAGGCATCTAACAAACATGAGGTAAGTCATTAGCTGTAAAATGTCATTTTTCAGACACTTATCTTCCACAAATCAAGGGTGCTTTCTGCAAAAAGAGCAAATAAGGACAGCTTCCCAAGAGCTCTGATGGTGTCCTACAGTATCTTTGTTTTATGACACTTTCAGTCTTCAACTGAGGCAATTCAACCTTCTTCCCATTTCCTGTCCTCCACCGAGTGTGAAGTTCAGGTTTGTGTTTAGTTCAGTTCATGTCTTTCTCGAAGGACACAGTATTTTTATGGATTGCTTGTGTGCCTGCCAATATTATGGCAACCTGGAGCTTTGTGGGGATTTCTGCCACTTTTGACAGAGCATCCCATCAAAACAAAGAAATATTAACAAGCCCATGCAGTGGCTGAAATGCTCAGACTAGCTCAGTTTTGGAAAGATGTATTTAAACCAGAGACACTGGCTATCCTTCCACCCTATTGTGTCGCTAAGCACACCAAACATCACAATTTAAAATATGTAGGTTTTCACATATATGCATATGCCATGCTAAATTGCCAGATCCAGAGCTACTATTCAGATTAACACAGTACAAATTTCAGTCTGCTTTTTTATCAAATTTATCAGGCTCAGATACAATGAAGAACCAGTATTATCTTCCATTTAAAAGCTATGGCCAACCACAAGCTCTCGATGTTATAAAGACTGATTCAATAACTATACTTCATTACCAATAAGCCAGCAGTTTCACTGGAACTTGACCATATAAACTCCTGAAAATTAAAAGGCATGGGGCAGGGGGGTGACTGTTGGGGTTTTATTTTTAAAGGGAAGAGAGAATACGTGGTTTTGCACCCATCAATGTATGTTCAGACACAAGAGAAATAAAAATATAATTCAACTCCTAACTGAATTCCAGTCCAGTTGACCTTTAAGTCAGTGTTAAACAGAATGAAAAGCTTTCCTTATAGAAGTCCTTTGCTGTACCTTTGCTCACTGCAAAAGCAATTTTGTGGACATGACCACTGACAAAAAGCTATACGCTAACCAACAGTATTTAACTTGAGATCTAAATGCTAGACTACCTCTAGCCAATACAAGAAAGAAAGCACTTCTACCTCTCCACCCAAAAGACCTCCTCTGTGAAGCTGTGAACAATGAACAGAAAGCCATTTAGAAACCCAAAAATGAGATATACCACTGGTTTACAATGGTTTAAATAAAAAGCATCAACTGTTTTCTCTCCTGTGGCTGTTAAAACTCCTGCAGGGCTGAAAGGAAAGAATGTTTAATTCCCTAGGAGGTGAAACAATTGTAGTATTTAAGCAGAACAGAAAAAGGGAGAAAGAAGAGACTTGGGCTAGGGCGCAGGGAGAGGTATTTCTGACATTCTGTTTCTGCATTGTCCATCTGCACAAGTGTCACCATAACCACATTACACTCTTTAACTACACCAAGACTGTAATTAAACTAAGATTACAGAAAATGGATGAGCAATAAGAAATAGCCTTTATTTTCATTTTATATGCAACATACTTTTTTTTTATCAAAAATTATTTTATATACAACATAAACAGTGGGTTGGTTTGTTGGGTTTTATTTTAACCAACACATTAGATTTGAAGAAGCACATATAGTCCCTTTCAACTGAGAAATGGAGAGTTTTTACATTAAAATAAATTGTATTTGTAAATGTGAGATCTGTGTTCACAGCAAATACAAAACATGGACAAGTTTCTTCTGGCATCATAAGAATATAAATGCCAAAATCATTTTAAATAGATGATACTCCTCATGGAGATAGTAGGGATCCCCTTAAGTGGGAAAAAAGAAAAAACCCACAACAGGAAGTTGTCATATACATTTTCAAGTATAACAGTGTTTTGGCAGTAACATGCCCTGCACAAGCCTACCAGAAATTCTAGTGGGTTTTTTGTTCTATGTGAGGCCCCACTTTGGATGTTTCCTGTACTTTTCCTCTCTTAAGGAGCTGTTTTATTTCAAATCCCCTGAGTATCATAAAACGAATTAATTGAGGCAATGCACACTGTGGGTGCTTCAGATGCAGGACAAGAACTGTAGAAATATAAATTGTGAGCTGTTTGAACATTACTGGTACCAAATGTCTGAGCACAAATCTCACACCCCACATAGCAAGGGAACTCTGGCTGCAACATCAGAAGTGAACACAGTTGAACCTGACTATCCAAATACATTCTTTAAAGCTCCCATTTCCATATGTTTTCCAGTTTGCAAATGTGAACTGTCTGAGATGATAATTTTCCTGTGGTGTGCATCTGCCCAACACTCTTTGAGGGAAGAGAGGGAAGCCCGTTATTTTCATGTCTCAACCTTCTCTTGCTACTACTCATCAACAGGTATGAAGTCTTTAGGAAAGCATTAATCTCCCCCAACTAGTAGGTCTGATGAGAAGATGACACAGATAACTTCAGATCAGTTGCTGGGATGGCAGGCTACTGTGGATTCAAAGATTACAACCCCAACAACAATTCGCATGCACGTATCTCATGGCAGGCAGGAACACCATGGATAGGTCTATGATTCTATGACTCTAACAGCAGCCAATAACTATGGCAGCACCGCAAACTGAAACTGCATTATCTTGAAATATTTAAATGCCAGGTTCTCAAGGGAGCATGGCCTCCTTTGAGCACAGGGCACACTGACCCACGGCACCATGTGCAGGACATATTACTCTAGATCACTGCCTGAATGAGAGCAAGATGAGCAGCTTCTGATGGGAGATAAAGCATTACCTCCTCACTTATGCTGCAGAAGGCAGCATGGGGGCTTCTCCCCACAGGCAGCCTGTCCAATTCTCCCACACTCCACAAGCCACAGCCTTCACAGGGAGGTCAGGCTGCCCACAGTAGATCTACCACTCCCTAACTACTCTGATGTTCACGTTGTAAAAACATAAATCTGTGGAAGCCAGGAATGATGTCAGTTATGCATCCATACCATGCCAAAACATTATGCTTATTGAGGAAAAAGGGAATAGGCTTGGATCTGGGAGAAGGCAGGCACCAGTAGGCTCTATTCATTCAAGTGTCACGTAACACTGCAGTTAGAAAACAGCTGACATGTATGCAGAGCTAAACAGTGGCTGTGGGACTGCGCACCCCACATCCATAAAATAGGACTGTAATGCAGATAACTAGCCATTTAGTTTGGGGATTCGCGCAAATCCTGTAAGCTTCAACCAGCCCTGCTACAGCAAGCACAACATTCACTCATCAAACTGATTTGGAAGAGTACCAGTATTAACAACTGAGGAGTTGTATAAGAGAAGCGGAGGAAATAAAACATCTGAACTCTGGAAGCTGGGAAGATGAATGTTAGTAATATGGGAAATGCAAGATACAGCTTTAGAGTTTGTCTTGTGGACAACTTATCCAGAGCATTGCGGAGTCTGGTTTTAAAGGGGATAATTATGTCAGAAGGAAGCGTAAAGGCCAAGATCACATTTCTTTCAAGAAGTACAGCATGCAGAAAGCACTTTCAATTTATCTATGTAAAAACAGATCACCTTATCCATAGATTATACAGACAGCTGTAAGAATATTTCTAGTGTGAACCCACAATGAGTGTGAGCCTGACAGCCAAGCACTCCTTTGAGCAGACCATGCTGAAGGAGACTGTTGGTACAGTTTTCTTACAGTCATTTGTCCCCAGTTCCGCAATGAACATCATCTATGGAAAATTATTTACTGTAAGCATAATGAAACAGGTGGGACAAAACTACCATGTGCACAGTCTGCAGGAGGCTCAGATGGAAGCTGGCACTAATGAATTCAGGCTGGCTGAAACCTGAGAGAATCACCTCAACAGTACTACTGATAGGCAATAAAACTGCTGAAATCTGCATCTCAACACTACTGAATGTAACTGAAACACAGGAACAAAACCACACAATGGTCACAGAGATTTACAGGATGCCACAAAGACAAATATATTATCTACAAAATAAAGTGAATTGTCCTTGAAAATATCCCCATTGTTCTTGCCACAGAATGGATAAGACTTGCACTATCTCTAAGTCATCATCTCTTTAACTGCCTCAGACATTTTACCAGTGCAGATAACATTCAGCTCAAGTCAGTCCAATACATTAAGTTAGGAAAACGCACAAAAAGCCTGACACATACCTGATCTACTAATCCTGTCAACTCGGTCCATGCTAGAACAGATTTTAATTCGAGGGCTACTCTGATTAGAGGATTCGGAACCTCCATCAGCAAAAGAGTCTTCAAATGCAAATAGTATTTCTTTTACACACTTGTGACAGATACTGTGCTGGCAAGGAAGGATCAGCGGATGGGTGAATAATTCCTTGCATGCTGGGCAGATGAGCTCTCTTTCAAATCCCTTAATGGCAACCTTCATGACAGAGAGAGGGAGAAACAAATGTAAGAACAGAGAACATGAGCCAGCATGGCACAGCTGTCTGTCACCAAACCCCAGCTCTGCTGAATAATCGCTGCACAGTTCTAGCTGGTTTGAAGCACTCCTCCAGTTAACCCTGCAAACAAATATAAATTAACATTTATGAGAGCACTGACAACATTCATTTCAACTGAAACAAAAGCTGCCACTAGGAAAATTCAGTTCATCTTTAGGTCATGTCTGCATTGCAGGGAAAGAAAAAGAAGAGGGGAGTAGTCTTAATTCCACCCAAGGACCAAGTGAGATGAAATCAACCATACTTCCTAACAATAGGAATACAATACAATAGGAATATGCTTAATTCTGCTTGCTCACCTGCTTTTCAAGAAGCAAGAAAAAAGAAGAAAAAAAGAAATAAACTGTCAGGCTGGTTCAACAGCAGGCTTCCCTGCCCTATAACTCACATTTAAGGAGACACTATTCTGACTTCATTTGGCTAGTAGCTCGAGTCAGGAACATTATTTGTTTGTTTGTTTGTTTGTTTGTTTGACACACAAAGACCCGCCTGTGCACCAGTGCAGCTCTTCGCCAAGTTAACGACTCCACAGCCGCCTGGCGCTGGCTCCCGGGCCTGAACCCACCGGCACCTCCTCGCCGCGGCACTGGCCCGTGTCCGCGACTGTCCAACCCGCCGTCTAACTACACCACATATATGCACGGGAATGAAACCCTGCGCGCACCGAGCCCCGGCTGAAGGTCCCCGTGCGAGCCATGCCCGCTGCCCCACAACGCGGACTGCCGTCGGGACCGCTCTAGCCGGACGGGGACAGGGCAAACACACCCCTACCCCACTGTCAGCTCTCACCGCGCTTTCCTGCCGGTCGCCCTCCATCCCCACGCCTCCTCCTCCTGGCGATTCCGCGGCTGCAGCTGCCATCCTGAAAGGACGCCCTCCGCCTCGACGGAGGCGGGGAGGCAATGCCGTGCTCTGGGGCGGGGCCAGAGGCAACGCCCAGCTCACAATGGCGAGCAGCACCTGGCACCGGCGGCGCCACTTCCGCAGCGGGGGAGGGTCCGGCAGGGGGCAGCGCGGTGCAAAGCCTGCGAGAGCCGCTGCTGGTCTCACTCCGCTTCCGTCTTCGCAGCGGCGGGGAGTGAGCAGAGTCCTAGAGTCCTAGACTCACAGAATGGTTTGGGTTGGAAAGGACCTTAAGATCACCTACTTCCAAACCCCCTGCAATGGAAGGGACACCTCGCACTAGACCATGTCGGCTAAGGTCTCCACGCAGCCTTCCCTTCTCCAGGATGAACAGCCCCAGCTTTCTCAGGCTGTCTTCATACAGGAGGGAAACTTGGAGGGAAAACGGACAGTAGCCTAATGCTACACAACGGACAGACATTTAGTGAATTAAAGTGGATGGAGCCTGGACTACATGAATGATGAAATGCTATAAGTTTGACAAACCCTAAATTTGACCTATTCACCTGTTTGAAAGACTAACATACGCATAAGATCCTTTCTCTGCTCAGAATTACTCTTTCAATATGAGTCAATAAAACAAACACACTTGGAATGGCTTATTTTGGTTTTGGCCATTATTTTACATCTGGGATTCAGTGGCCTGAACATGAAATTTGAATGAAAAATAACATTCAGGAATGATGAAAATAGGGGAGACTGTATAGCGTATTCGGTATTACAAAGAACTTCCTAGAGAACACATGTAAAGATGCTATTTCACATTTACTTTGGAAAACTGCCCTCATAAAATTACAGAACACTGTGCTTGAAATAATTCTGATATTTAGGATTTATATTCAAACTGATTATAAATGTTCACAGTATTTATATCCAAACTGAAACGTTAACCAAGTATGTGGGGAGAATGGGTTAGTAAGGACATGAGTTGTCAGCCTTGCAGCTATGTTTTGAGTAGTGATTTGCAGACATATGAATAACTATTTTGCCTTAACCACCTCTACTACCCCCAAATCTCCTGGTGTTACAGGCAGGCTTTAAAGGATGTAGATCTTTGTAAGCCCTTGTTTACATTAGCACACTACCCATTGGTGACACTGGCTGTAATTGTTTTGGGGTCAAATAAACTATCGGTCACAGATCAGAACAAGGCTCTGCTACTGCCTTTTGAAACAGTATGAAGAACTTTTGTCTTTGGTAGCATAGCAAGGCAAGCCATTCTGCACTGCATGCCAGACGTGTAGGTGCCAGCAGAGGTGGGTCTTGCTAGTGTCGACAAACTTGGATGAAGCACATATTCTCCTACTGTTCTCTTACAGCCTTCACAGAGGCCACAATGCCAACTACTGCTACAGTCAATACTGGTGACTCCTTGTTATATCTCTTAATAGATCATTACCATCTTAGCTTGCTTGTGCGCCTATTTTCTCTGGCTTCGGGGTAGTTTCGAGCATGATTTTAATTACCACCTCCTCTACCACATTAAGATGTTACAGGATGAAGAGGTACTTGAAAGCTTTGGAAGGGTGGAACTCCTGTGTCTGCTGTCACACCTTTTGCTAACATTTCGATGCTTCCCAAGGCTAGGACTACTGCATTTGCCAGTACCTTTAAGGTACTGGGAGGAAAAAAGCAACAGCTAGGAGTCACTGGCACACTGAAAAGGCAAGAGCACAACTGCCAAAGGAAGATCCTGTCATTTGCAGGAGGAGTAAGTATGACCAGCGCAGTCACCCAAGTCAGACCTACCCTTCTGCTTTCTTTCCAGCCACTTGTGCATCAACTGGAATCCTGTTCTGCCAACAGGGGAAAGCTTTTACATGAAGTGATACGTGGAAAGTGTTAAGACAGGTCAACACATTCTTTGTAATTCTCTCCTGCCCCTCAGCAGGCAGGGTCTGACCAGGTGTCAAGGGCATGCCTTGAGCTCCCATGACAGCATCACAACACAACCTGGGTGGGGGTTGTCATCCTATTTTCCCTCCTACCTCAGGTTCAATGGCTCGTTAATTTAATCTCTGGTACACAGCAGTCTCCTAAACACTCATTTGCATTAACAGTCAGTACAATTCAAAGAAGGATGAAGCAGCCTGGTTTCAATGAGCCATGAAAATCCTAAGCTTATTGTTACACAATGTAACAACATAGAGTGGTTGAGGCCCTAGTGAATGAAACAGCACAGCCCTACCCGAAAGCACTCACAAGTTCTGTAACACCTCCCCTGCCTTTAGCAATCAGGATCCAAGACCAAAGCTTTCCAGGACGTTTCATTCAGCCTTTGCAACCATGGCTCAAGCCTAAGCAAGTTCCCAACTGGTCTGCACTCCTCTGACTGAACTGCTGAAGCCTGCCTTGCACCAGGTTTGCCTGAGAGCCAGAGCCACTGCTTCCATGGCAGAGGTATGCAAGATGAAGAGTGAGATTTGTTCCTGAGTTAACGTAACTATCTTGGGCACTGAGGTACAAGGGAGACACTTTTTTCCCCTAAACAACAATGGTATTCCTGCCAAGATGGATGTAGTGGGTGTTTAGCCCACATTCTGGCCTCTGTAAATCGTTAGTGATGCAATTTGCTCTAGAAGAGGAGTTTGAGCTTGGTCAGAGTATGCTGAGTGACCTTAATTCTTTGGGGAACTAACTTTCAGCAAGACTCTGTAATCTTACCTCTTTGGGGAACTAACCTTGAGCAAGAAAAGTGAAGCAAAGAAACAGAACAAAGACGACTAGAACAGGAAGTAGAAGAAGGAACTGAGAAGTGAGGAGAAGGTTGAAAGGAAGATGTTGAAAAGGCAGACTAACCAATTAAAACTTGTATTGCGCGGGTGGACAGCAGCAGCTAACCAAGTGCATTGTAGCTCTGACCTTGTGGACTTAATCTAAAACATATATAGTCTTTGTAATCTGAAGTAAAAGGGTCTCTGACTTGTAATCTGAGTCCATGTCTTGAATCCCCTCAAATAATGACCTTGACGTGATTGCGGAACGAAAGGTGCAACTCACAGAAGACGGCTGCGTGCTCTGGAGGGAACTGTTTCGGCTGAACAATCGTCTTGCCAGCCAGACTGGGCAGACCAGAAATCTCCAGGGGTAGGTTCACCTGCTTCAGAGAAAAACTCAAGTGAGCAGCCGAGAGACAGGAGGGAAAGAGAGAAGATGGGTTCAAATATCTCGAGCGAAGAAAGGATGATAGTCAGGATGATACAATAAATGTTAAAGAGACGACGAGTAAAATATTAAAGAAACAATTTGGAACTATTGCTAGCATGTTTAAAAAGTAAAGACTTGCCCACGGAAACACTGCGTGTATTTGACTGTAAAATTTGGAAAACAGCTGGTAATCTGATCTTCGACCATGCTACAAGGGGTGACTCAAATGCCATACATATACAATCAACGTGGCGTTTGATATACAATACACTGAAAAAGGTGCATCGTGAAAAGACTGTGACAGAGGAAGTCAGTGGAGTATTAGTGACTGAAGACCCAAATGAGTAATGCACTCACAGTGGAGAGTCAGCAAAACAGGAAATAGCAGTCCAGACAGACAAGAGTGAAGCAGAGTGGGAGGAAAGTGAGTTGGAAAGTTCAGATGAGGAGGGGACTGTGGTCTTGCAAAAGGTAACATCATTGCCACATATGCGGCCTGCAGTTTCATGTAAAAAGGGTTCAGACAGTATGATGATGGCTGCAAGCTGCAGGGAGCAAAACAAGAAAGATGAAGGGAGTAAAATAAGAGAAAGCTGGAGAAAAATGCATTTAGACAGAATAAAGGAAGGGGGGAAAGTTGCAATTAACCCCTCGCTTTGCATTTCCGGTGATGGTCCAGCCCAATTAGCCTGGGACCCATGAGGCCTTCAATTGGGAACTGGTAAAGGAGGTTTGAAAAGCTGTGATGCAAAATGGGCTACAATCGCCATTTACCCGAACATTATTGGAAAATGTCTTGGGTGGACACCTTGTGACCCCATTGGATTGTCATCAATTACCTGCATTGATTTTAACACCAAACCAAAAGTTGCTGTGGAAAGACAGATGGGCAGAACTGTGTGAGGTGCAGGCTCTAGAAAACTTAAATCGGCAATAGGGTGATCCACGCCTGGGAGGACAGGTAGATCATCTAATGGGGGCAGGTGCATTTACTGCTCCTGAGGTTCAGGCTCAAATGATGCCAGACATTTTAAGAGACTCAGCATGCTTAGCGTGAAGGGCATTTGCAACTAATCTGGAAATGGGAAAGAAACCTGTCTATTTTACCATGATAAGACTGGGGAAGAATGAGCCCTATATGCAATTTATAGATCGCTTGTGAGAAGCTGTAGATAGGCAGATAGATCATCCAGAAGCAAAAGAGTCTTTATTATTAAAATTGTCTATTGAGAATGTGAATGTGGACTGTAGAAAGGTTTTGCTGTCCTTGCCAAAATCTGCATCATTAATAGAGATGGTAGAGGCTGCAGACCACATAGGCTGTCTACAACAGCAACAAACAATGTTAGCTGGCATGTTTGCTGTGACCATGCAACTGCTAGGAACCTCAAATAAAAGATGTTGTTTGCGGCAAACTAGGTCACCTTAGCTTCCAATCCCTGAAAGGCAAAGCAGCCAAATCCAAAGGCTCATCAGACAGGGTCCCAGGACTGTGCCCCCGATGTGAAGAGGTTCATCATTATGCCAATCAGTGTCGGTCCAAATATGATTGGGAGCGCAAACCCCTTGAGCAGGGATCGGGAAACCAGAAGCGCAGTGCAGGTCAGGGCTGCACCATGACACAAATACCCCTGAATGTGGTGAGTGGACCCCCATTGTTAAACAACAACCTTCAGGGTGTTTAGACCAACTCACCACAAAAATTTACCGAAGTGCCGGAGTGGATGTAGTGACAACTGAAGAAGTCACATTAATAACATCTACTGTCCACACAGTAGCTCTTAATGCCCATGGACCATTAGGCCACGACTTTAGTACCCTGTTAT